TCTAAAAATAATATGTTTATACATGCAAGAAAAACGTTCAGAAAGTTTTCTTTTAACTGATGTCTTTTATCTATATTCTCTTTCAAAAGACTACATGGAGCTAGAACATTTTCATTAACACTGTTTTGGTTCTAGAATAGAGCTGATGAAGTTTGTTTAAATGCTTGTCTCTTAGAAAAGTTCTCAGAGTGACATCTTCCAGATCATTAGGTAAAGAAGTAACTTTTTCTCTTTCAGTATATCTGTTGGTTTTTATCCATGTTACTGGGAGAAATTGCCATATATTCTGATATAACAATTATCAATGTGTGTGTGTTATGTGTGTGCAGTATTAAGTTTATACCTGATAAACTAAATACAAGTCAGTGAGAATGATATGAACTATTTCTATCTGGATAGGATAGTTTTCATTAAAGAATTCTTCTGTAAAATTCTTATAAAAAAATTAAGAGTAAAATATTAGAAGAAATATCAAAGTATGTATTTTCCCAAATGATTCAGAGGTATAGACTCAAAGAAATTAGATATTTATTTGTATTCCAGACTTTCACTGTGAGTATAATTTGGCAGAAACATTCCTAGAAGTAAATTAGGCCAGCACATATTAAAATTAATGCAAAGTCATTCTTTTCAAGATTGTAATGCAAATGAGTAATATTTTTGCCTTCATATATTTTAAAGTATTGACCATTTAAATCAAGCCTTGAAATGCAGTGCTGCAGATGAAAGAGCACGTAGCCATCCTGCTTACTGCTGTAGTTAAAGTCTGGGTGTAAACTATGCCCTGGGCTTTCTCCTGCAGCAGTCTTATGCTCAAGTTAGCATACCACTAAAAAAACCCCACAAACAACAATGTTTCCTTACCAAACTAATTGAATTCTGACATAATACCCTGTTTTTCTCTTCTGTTCCAATTCTTGAGTATTTATATAGCAATTTTGGTCATATTGGTAGTGATGTAGATTTATGGAGGCTTATAACAGATGAATCATACACAAGGAGTTTTTTTTCCCCTTTCTGGAATCCTCTTGGCATGACTTCCAAAACTCAGCCACTAATAGAATATAAACATAGAGTGGTTAAGTTTCTATTTCTAGAGAAAAGAGTGGTGACTGTAGTACTTAACACATGGAGGTGCCTGGATTTTGGAACTTCCAAGATGGCAAGATATACTTATTCGCAACTCTTTAGGGTCATGTTCATTCAGAGTTTATCTTGGTTCTTTGTAATAACATAGCTGGGTTTTGGGAATGTGGTTTACATACTCAATCTATACTTTTCATTTAATTTTTTCCTACTTACAGTTGGAGAAATTCATTTGGATTCTAAGAACATTCTGGAAAAACCAGAAGTAAGCAGGTGTAGAGCAAATATTTGAAACTTCTGGACATGCTTTTTGTTAAACAAAATTTTACTAGTTCTTTCTTCAAAATGCTGAGCATTTGTTTCCTATTATATTTGGTAGGAAACGATATTAAAATTAAAATTTGTCTTCATTTTGCTATTCTTGCAGGGGAAATAAATATTTTGTTTTCAGTAAGAAAGGAATTTGTCCTAATTTGAACAAAAGGAAAAAAAAGTTTTAATCTGAATACATAAATTCGAATTTGTTAGCTAAAAAATACTTTCAACATTTTATCTAAATCTGAAAATAGTAATAAACAAATTTCCTTCATGTCTGGAAAGAGAAAACAATTTACTTTTTTAAGCTCTAAGACTTAGAATTCTCTCAACATTGACTGAATGTTTACAGAGGGCCTGGAATATATCAGATGCCCTGTTAAAGCTCTGAGTTTCAGTGGTGAGTAAAACAAATGCAGACTCTGTGCTGGAGCTCACAGACGTCACACATTTTCTTCATATCTACTTTTTACAATGTGATTGATTTATACATTGCCAAAGCTTATGTTTACAATGTGATTTGTACGTTGCCAAAACTTGTGTTCAGATGTCCCCCAAAACCTCATGTAGTTGGAGGTGGGGCTTTTTCAGAGATGGCTGAATCTACTGAATCATGGTATAATGCTGAAATTAAGGTTGTGTGATTACTAAATCAGTTCAGTGATTGTTTGGTACTGCCCTAATCTTGGTAGGTTAGTGAGAGTATAAAATGTGCAGAAAAATGTTGCTAAGGTGACTTGCTTTCTTGTTTTTGCTGTCTTCTGCTTCTCCGTGCACTGTTTCTCTCCTGCAGAGAAACAGTGTCAAGTCACCCTGCTTTAGAGTCAATGGATTACGGACTGAAACCTCTACAAACTGTGAGCTAAATAAATGTTTCCTCCCTCATTACCGATAAATGACCTTTCAATGTAATTGTATAGGTTTCTTCATCATATCATCTTAGGACAGATTCAAGTATGAAGAGATACAAAATATTATGCTTTGCTTTTAAGATTCTACAAGATGAACTAAGTACAACTTAATGGGAGTGATATAAAATGTTACTATTTGAATATTCAGGGTAGTTTTCTTTAAATAATTCTTTGGGAAGATCCTTGCAAAAATTAAGAGTAAAACATTAGAATAAGTACTAGAAAAAATGTTGCTTTATATAAAAATCTATGTGGAATCTCCCCGTGTTCTTGAATGCTTACATTTGATTACTACCAAATAAAGATATACGAATTTACCAGATAATGTCATATTCAAATATTCAAAAATAAGACACAGTATTTGTGTATTCCACTTGCATTTTAAGCCCGCAGACTTTAATCAAAAGCAGACTCTAAGTTGATAATGAATATATCTGACATTGCATGAATACAGGGCTTTTAGAGAATTTCCATTTATCATATTAAGTATCTTTATAGCAAATATGGATGCTCAATAGTTAAAATAACCACTGCATGGACATTTACTTTAGAAATTAACACAAGTGGGAAAGATCTTAATTTCCATATGATTTGAGTAATTACATTTTATGATCTTTGTCTTCTCAGAAGTTGTTGTTACATTTACTTTTTTGTTTTGCTTTGTTTTGGTTTTTTGAACAGAGTCTCACTATGCAGTTCAGGCTGGCTTTGGGCTTACTTTGTAGCCTATGCTGGTCTCAAATTTGCAAATGATTCTGTCTTAGCCTCCCAAATGCTGGGATTACAGGGATACACCACCACACCTGACTTCATTTATTATTTATGAGAATTCAATAATGTTTAAATTTGTTTCTTTCCCAGATATATTAAAGAAATGGCAGTTGTTATAACTCTAAGGTGTTTTATAATGTTTGCATTGCAGTGAACCCAAATAATTTCCAAAATTTCATTGTAATCTACTGATGAGATGATGATTGTTAGATGATTCCACACACAATGTGATGGACTATTCCATGTACTGCCAAGGTAGAAACTGCTCTCTTAGCAGCTGGGAGTGTAACTGGAAAAGATTATTAGCAGTCAAGACCTCTTTGGAGATGGGGCTACACCCCTGCCTGAGGCAGCCTGCATCCAATAGACATAAAAAACATATGGAAACCCATTTAGGATCCAAGGGCTTTCTAGACCTTGGGCCAACAGTGGGGTCCCTAGGGCTATTGGCGTTGTTGAGTGGCCTTCTCTGCTAAGAGATCCTGAGATTTCCTTAATAAATACTCCACCTTAGAATGCCTGTCTCAGGGCCCATAGACTCAAAAGTCAGTTGTCATAATCACATTACATCTTGATAGTGAGTTCTAGCACTTGCCACTTCATCAAAATGTATCTTGGCCAATTAATTGATGTAAATATAAGTGAAGATAAAGTATTTGATTTTACAAATATTTTCTGATTCTCTGAGACAATCAACCATTTAAGCATAGATAGTAATTTAAAAAGATGAACTATACAGAAAATAATTCAACACATCACCACGATAAATCTAGGAAATGACACTTTCCTCTAGTGAAAGTCTTTGTCTTATTTTGACCTGCCGATTTAGCAGCCTGTGATCTGATTTCAAACAAAGGAAAAGATGAAACACACTTGGTAATCACGCAGGAGCTTCTAAAATATCTGTTGCTATGAGAGTGATTGTTCCAGTATTTCCTTTCAGTTTTAAGTGAAGACATTTATTCTCTTTTCCACACTGCAAATAGCAGAAGTGATTTAGATAGTTCTAATGCATAGAGCTCCCTTTTCTGTTTGAATACACAGGGTTACTCTTTGGCATTCATTTGAAGGCACTGCCTTTCAACAAAGCAAGGAAAAGCCTATGAACTATATCTGCTCACTGAAAATGTGTTTCATTATTAGCACAGTTTCTCAAGTTGTAAAGACTAGAGACTACTTAGGGAGTTAATAAAACAATATCTCTGTTTCTCTAGCCAGTTTTTCCAGGTGCAATGTCTGTCTCTTTCAAACAAAATCTATAGTTTCTGAGTAGAATAATCCCCTCTGCAAGTATCAGTGGTCAAAACCAGAGAGGTGGGGGACTTGTCCAAGAGAAACACTATTAAAAATTCAGCGAGAGACCGAAATCTGGACTTGTACCAAGCAGGATTTCATCAGCATGTCTGTCCAAGAGGAAACATTTTCCAGTGTTCTCTTTCCTTTCCTTTCAGAAATGAGCTCAAAGGCAACTTCCCAGACACTATAACAAATGAGATGCTTTAGCTCAGAGAAGCATTAATAAATGATGCTCTTTGCTAAAGGTAGCTTAGATCTTCTACCCATCAAGCTTATGTCAAACCCAGTCTTGACAAATCTCTCTGTAATTCACATTATGACTTGTCCTATGCTTTCCTTAACTGCACATCAGGTGGTATCAGGTAGACAGAGCAGATGCGGAGAGTGGGGTGAGGAAGTTCTTTTAGAAATGCCGACTTCTGCTTCTATATATGTGTTTCTAGGTTAGGAAAATGGCAGAATTTCTGGAACTCATTAACTACTTCCTCTTATTCATTTATTTCCTACTTAAGCTCTTTTCATGGCCTAAGGAGGAGACCAAAGCCCTGAAAGCAGGCCGCTTGGGCCAGAAGCCAGCAGAGGGCGCGTTGGGAGCTCCAAGCCAAGGAGGCTTCTTCCTACCTGTCTGCTGGAAGTGAGCAATTCTGCTTCCAATCCAGTTGCTTGTTTTCTGCCAGTGTTACGTAGTTTCAGCAAATAATCCACCCCTACAACGCAGGAACATTTGGAGGTCAGAGACATTGAAAGCACACTGGCTTGAGTGTTTTGTGCTAAATGTGTTTACAGGAAAAGGAAAGCTTGATGAGTCATCCTTCTATTTTCTAATGGAAACTACCAAGAATTTGTGTGTGCACTTTGCAATTCTATGCATTTAAATCAATCAAACATTAAAAGTTAATGTGAGTTGAAAAGGGAACAGTGCTCTGCTGACCTGGTAACTATAATTGAGTGAATTCAAAGGTCTCATGAAAAGATGGGGAATTACAAGCTGTTTCTCCTTACATATTTTAATTTTTTATGCACCTGTGTAACTTACCACAGCTCATTATTCGGAAAGGAGCAGAGAAACAGAAAAGTCACTAACATTAGTAATTCTGAATTGCAGCAAATTCAGTGTGAATGGTAGTTTTTCTACAGCTCATTAGATCACTTTGAGTAAAATACCCCTAGTACCTAGACTATGCAACATACATACTATATAGTATATACTGCCTTTGTGAAAATTTTATGTTTTATGGAACAGAGACAAAAAGCCACCCTCGGTCTCAGAATTAGTAGACTACTGAAGCCATATAGATGGTGATGTGGGAGAGTTGCTGGCTTTTCTTTAAGCACTAGCAACTTCAGCTACTGGTAGAAATATGCACCAGAAATAATACCACATTTGGGAGAACACATATACGTCTAATATTTCATAGCCAATATATAGAAAGGAAAAGACTCATGTAGGGGAATGATGATGGAGAATTCAAGAGCAAACTTGTTATTCTCTGTTGTACTCCTTATAAGGGGAGTACTACATAAATTATTTTAAAGTTATGATTTCCACATCTTTGCAGAACCTCTCAGCCAATACAGTGGGTGAGCATGCCTTCGGTGGATTCCTTTACATGATGTGGATACTGAACAGAATGAAACTTATGACTATGTATTGAAAAATCTTCCTCTAGATTGCCACTCTTTCTTTAATTAGTATTCCTTAATATAAGTTGAAATCTGCTCATTTATTTTGATTCCACCCACCCTTTCTATGTTGCCTATGAGAACAAAATTTGCCAAATGACATTATTTTTCTGAGGCAGAAAAGTACAGGACTTAAGCAAGAGTTTCACGCTAGGCATCCTGTTTCGCTTTAGGCTCACCTATATGCAGTCAGCTGCATATTTTTGAGCAAGTTGTCTAACTTGTTTGAGCCTCAGTTTCTTGGTCAGCACAATAGGGATAATAATAGTATATACCTTATAGGCTTCTTTGTGGGTAAGATGAATTAGGGACAACTCCTATGCTTAGATGAGCATGGAGTCCATAGTCAGTACTGGCCAGGTGTTTAATGTTATTCTCATCATTATCATCATCTGTAGATCCTCCCCCAGTGTCCAGTCTGTCATGGCTTGTTGGGATTTAACCTATATTGACAGCCAATGTCCAGTGCTCACTTCAAAGTGCACTCAAAATGAAGGTCTTGAAGGTATTCTAGAACTTTCCTGCCAATATTTCCTTTTGAAGCAACTCTTTGAAGCAGGACTTATATTTCTTCTAGGATATGGTCAACAGATGTCATATGTAATGAATATTATATACCTGTGTATTCTCTCACATATAGCATTATTTCTGATACATATTTCTACCAAGAACTGAAGTTGTTAATACTTAAGGAAAAGCAAGTGGCTCTCCCACATCTGTCTATATGTCTTTGGGCAGATTACTTAATCTCTATGCATTCCAAGGTTTTTGTTTCTGCCTTATAAAATAGGAAAGAGAATATGAGTTTAAAACATTCAATTTTTCAAAAGCAGTATTTTGACTGATATGTATATTGAAGAATATAGATACTAGAAATATTTTACTGAAAGTGATTAAAACTTGAGTGTTTGCTGTGATTATAATCAGATATAAAATGCATGTAATATAATAAGGAACAGAAAGTCCTATGCGCTTGTAAAACAGAATAAATTAGTGCTGGTGAGGGCTGTGGAGAATTGGACAATTATAACACCCTTCTAACTGTAAGTGTTGGCATGTATGAATATTTTTGATGTTATATGTCATACATCGCACTATGAATGGTTTGACTGAAATGGAAAAGTGAGAGAATGACTTTTTATAACTGTGCATTAGGCTCTTATCTGAAATCTTCTGTTTGGAGCTCCCAAAGAAAGATTTACTAAGAACATGGACAGAGGGCTCTTGGAAGACAATTGCTCCACAATGTCCCTATGTAGAGAGCACGCCAAATCTTGACCTAAGGAAAAAAGACATCTTCTCATATTTTCCTAGCTTCAATATCTGTTCTTGAGAAAAGACAATGATATTTGTAATTTTTTTAGCCATGTATTTTTTGTTGTGAAATTACTCAAATTCAACACTGGAGCTAAGATTATGATTGTTTTCTATGCCGACATTCCTCACCTAAGGATGACTTAGTGGAATTATCAGTGACTCACCAATTTCCTATACTTCTGCCCTTTAGAACTTTCTTTACAGAAGTTTGGATGCTCTTGGGTCTTCTTAGTTCTTGTAGATTAGTAGCAGGGTGCATCGCTGGGGATTTAGCTCAGTGGCATAAGCACCTGCTTGGTAAGCGCGAGGTTGTGAGTTTGATCTATGGTACAAAAAAAAAAAAAAAACACCCCCAAACAAACAAACAAAAAACCCACAACGGTGCAGCTAAGAGACTCTGTTAACTGGCGGCAATTTCTGGGATATCTAAGATATTTAATAGAAACTCCAGGAAACTCAGCAGAAGCTGCTCAGCACATGCTATCTTAATGTGGGAAAATGTTTTTCATTTGGCAAAACCTCATATAATAAAATTGAATTTGTTCTTCAAAAACTGTCAGAGAGGTGCCAAAAGGAAGCAGAGACTCAATTTTGGTCATAAATTGTCCAGGTTTAATTTCTTCAAAACTCAAGTAGTCTATGATCAAATAGAAGAGCCCCAACTGACCTTTCCTCTCACTCCTCTTCTGGTAATACCATGCTTTCCTGACCATGATTCTTTACCAGTTGAAGAGTTCTGAATGTGTAAATTCAGTGTATAAGTTGGACACAGAGAGTGGACATGAACTGAGATCTGTTTTTTATATTTTCCTTGTCAAATAGGATTGTCTGAATGTCAGATCATGTTGATTTGCTTACTCTGGCAGAATTTCTTGTTTCTTGTGTTGACTGATTCTTGATATTAGATCATAGTTGTATGAGTATTATTTAATTATTTTCAAAAATTTTCTGTTTCTAAGAAATATTCTGGGCTTTCCAAATTTATGAGCCTTGTCAATATTTTGCAGAATTTGGATATCTGAATGGGCCTCCCGTGAAGTACATTCTCTCTGGACTCACTCTTTGAATGTACTTTACAAAATAGCACACTGGAGCTTTTGATTTAACACTAACACTATATCTACATAATACTTACTATTTGTATAGTTCAACAGGGGAATTTTGTAACTGTGAATTTGATAGAGATTAAATTTCTCTTATGTAGAGGAAACATGTTATAACACTTATGTTTTTTAAGTTTCAGCAATACGATAATGAGACATCCCCAATGAAAGCTGGTTGCCTACTCAGTTTCAACACTGTTTTTGTAATTGCTTTTTGTTTGTACTTCTGGAAATGCAAGTGAGATGAGAAAGAGTAAGCAGTCCTCATTTGTTCTTTTCCGGGACCTGATTACGTGATAGTTGCTTAGGTATTATTCAACGTACTGGATGTACTTGTTTATATAAACACAGATTTCAAGGTATCTCAAGATACATAGATATATCCCAGGTCTGAGGGTTTTTTAGCCCTGAAAATGCATGAACTCATTTTCTCACAAAAAGGCACTGGCCAAGCATGTTGGTGCAAATAGTCAATGGACAACCTATCAATTGCTTAAGACTCAAAGTAAAATAAAAACAATAGAGTTAACTAGGTGCATTATGTCTACCAGTGCACGAATAGCAGTGCATAGCTACCGTGATACTGGTTGCTTCTTTTCAGTGAATTTCCCATTAACTCCATCAAGTTTTTTAAACCTACCTCTTTCCTCTTCAGACCTGTCAATTCATTATATTCCAAGCTACCATTACATTTGGTGTTAGCCATTAAGTTCCTCTTGCTGCGCTACAGGAAGGAGACAGCGTTTGATGTGGGACTCAGTACCACTCTCTTGCTAGTTGATTCCAAACAATGGTACTGAGAACTAGAGGTATGAAAGACAGAGCTCACACACGTCCTTTCCTTTTTTTCTAGAATGGCTGCAGTGAAGATCGGATAAACCAGAAACTCCTGTAAGATATTGCCAGCTCTGGGGGAAAGAGATTCAGAAAGTCAAGGCTTAAAAGAAAGCCAATACTACATGTGTTCCCAGTTATTTTCCCCGAATTTCAGCCTAAGCAGCCCTGTCACTTGTTTGCACTCAGAAAAAAAAAAAAAAAACAAAAAAAACAAAATTCTTCTTTCTTTAAAATGTTTAACCTGGAAACCCTAATGTTATTATTTTTTTTAAGTGTTCCAGAGCCCATCTTGAAGGCTTCAGTTAGCTTGCACTCATCACCTGGTGGCCTCCAGGATGGCTTGTAGGTGGGTACTTTAATAGTGGAAGCAAATAACCTTAGAAATAACCGTTAAACCTGAACTTTTCTTAAACAGATTACAAATAATTACAAATGAAATACTTAAGAAAGTATATTTAAATTATTTGAATCCCTTATAATGTCTAGCACATTTATAAAAGTTAATTCTCTTTCTTTTTCCTTGGATTTTCTCATTGTACTTATTTTTGTAACTGGAGAAATGAATAGTTTTCATATTCCTTTAAAATTTCTATGAGAGATAAAAAGAAAAATGTTAATCAAATGGAAGAATTTCTGGAAGAATATTAGTTTCAAAATGAATTATTTCAACATGTGAGATTTTTTACTAGACTGCCAAAGAAAATCCACAGAGTATGTCACAAGAATAGAATCAGTAATGAGTAGACTTAAGTTTTTGGTTTAGCAAGATTTAAGATGGGTGTTCAGATAATATTTTCTAAGCAGTTGGGTGGTTTGGGG